CTATTCCTCAGTTCAGTGCTAATGTGAAACATCCAGCTAAAGCTACTTTTTCTGCATTCATTCCCCCATTCATCGCATGAGTTACGCAAATTGCATGGTATTCCACCAGCTGTGGGATGCAAGCTTCAAAATAATAAACCAACAAAAGCGCCATAATTACCAAACTGAAGTACATGGAATAGGTGTTAATTCATACTGCCATGGAATGGCTGCCATCTTTTTTCACGCTCATACTTTGACCATTACTGCATTGATTAGCGCAGCCTGCTGGCGATCCTGACGTTCGTTTTGTTTCCTGGAAGGATAACGATATTCGCACTCCGACTCAGCACATCCCCTTACTGAATCTTATCGACTGAGAGAATGTAGTGACATGTGAAAAAAAGAAAAAAGCACGAAGAGTGGAAGCAGAAGTTATGTTACAGATCGGCGTCTTGGTGTAGCGAGGAGAAGGACTGCGCCTTATGCACTGCTGTGGAAGGATGCAGCTGGTGTCACTGGAGCAGGGAATGCGTTGCTTCGGACAGTTTTTGTAAAGATCGTACGAATCCGGTAACCAAATCCGAAGCCTGTCCGAAAGAAGAGGAGGCACGGCCGTGCTCTTTTGCAACTGACTGCTATGCTTGTAAAAGGTTGAAACATTGTAGCTGGTATCTTGCGAAGGACTCTAAATGGAAATGTATCAGCAGCCATGGTTTGTTTTTGTTCGATCTGATGGAATTTCCTAAAATCTCAATTACCAAGAACGCCAAAACGGCCTGACAGTCGGCGTAAAGATCACAAATTAATGATTTTACTTTGATCTCCTACATACCAGATGCTGCCGTGCTAGGCCTACCCCTCCCCCGCCCCCCGATCCTGAGCTTCACACACGTAATCGGTACCTTTTGCTTGTTCGGCTAATGAGCGCCGGCTGTTTGAAGGCTAACCAAATGGTCCTGTGTTTCCTCGCGGATACTTACTAATGCATGAAGTCTACCGGTTGTCAGCAGGGTGAGCAACTTTTCTGCCCAGTGGATCTTACTTCCTTGCATGGTCACATATTCAGCACTCCTCTCATCTAAGAGCTTTTCTAGTTCTTGTGGTGGATCTTCGGCAGTTCATTTACAGTTTAATAAATCGGGACATCCATTTTTTCACAAATATCTTGTACTTTTTTTGTATTAGGAAAACTCATTCTGATTTTGCTTAATTTGAATATTTGTTTCAAATTTTTAATTAAATTATTTTTCTTATTTATGAGCGTTATAACTAGTAGTTCGGGTGGGCTACACTAGGTCTGAGTGAGAACTGGAATAAAATCAACGAAGAACTTCTCTTGTAAATTTAGAACATTATGAAAAATGACAAACTTTTTCGAGTTTTTTTTTCGTTGGTTTTTGATAATTTCCGGTGTTTGGTATTGCTTTATTTGAAAAAACCCAACGTTTCGCCTCTTCTTGATATGTGGAGCGATTCTCAATGTAGGCTGTAAATATCCAATTATTCTTTTGCACCCCAAATTTACCATCTTTCTTAAGCGAAATTTAGTTATTGTTTGATAAGATGATGAGATAGGGGCTATTCTGTGCAGTAGCACGGACGATTTATGGCTGGACCTTATTGTGGTTTTTTTTTTTTTAAATTCATTTCCG